GCCAATCAGAATTTCTTCTAGAATTTTTCATACCATCGATCATTACGGTATTTAGTATTTCCATCTATGGAAATATCTGACTGAAATAATGTACTTTATATGCAATGTTGCTTTATGTTTAAACTCGAAAAGAAATTGTTTTGTAAAATATCATAGTAGTGATCAAAAATAATAAATCAAAAAATAAAAAATATGTACATTAAAATGAAAACTTGTATCGTAAACTTGTTTATTAGAAATAGTACTTTTACATAATTACGGTTTAGAACAAATAATCAACGCGTAAAAACTTTTTCAGATCATAACTATTAAAAAATTAAAAATCGGGATTTTTTTTACAATACACCTTTTTTCACACTAATTAAACTCCCCCCCCCAAAATATAATCAAACAATGTATAAATCATACCTTTTTGTCTATTTAGAAATCAAAAAAAAAAAAAAAATGGGGGACAAATGATAACTTGTTGTTTAGATGGGGTCTACAAATTTTTGTTCGTTTAAAAGATAGTATTCTTAAATTCGAAATCCATGAAAACCCGGTAATTTGTGAACACCAGGGTATAATTAATTAATATTAACATAACACGCAACTTTTGATTAACGCAACTTGTGATACTTTTAGTTGAAAATAAAGTCTCTTAAGACAATTCCAACGGTTATTAGTCCATATCATGCTATGAAAATATTATGGCATAAACTGCGATTTCCTATATCACTCACCATGGACACTTTACAATGTTTCTAAAACAAGTCTGTCAATTTTTGGTCTTTTGAAATGTTACTATTCATAGTAATAGGTGTATATTTAAAACTGATTAAGATGTGCTTTGGCTTCGTTAATACATATCCCAATTAAATATAAAGGCTCCATGACAATCTTTGATCTTTAACTTTTACAATAATCATTTTTTTTAAATTACAAAAAAGACTTAATAATAATTCCATTCTTTACTAATAATAATGATGAAAACGCTAATAAAGAAACGCTTCTTTTATAGAATATTGATCATGATAATAAAAGGGTAAGAGGTCATGCTAAACTTGTGATTAACGCAAGTCTTTTAACCAACCTTCACGAAAACATTATGAAAATTTTTGCACTCATACATTATAATTCTATATATGCGAAGGAACATTGACACGATTCATAGATAAAAATTACGCAATTATAAATAAATATAATAATTATAACAATAAAGCCTAGTATTCTTGATTTCATTTAACAATGTTTTATCATTATTATTTCAAGAATTTTTTGAAGGTATTTTCAAATTTTATGTAGTGCCTAAATCATTTGACTTGGGCATATCCAACAGATGATCTTTATCTATTTCTTTGATTTTTTTTTACAAATATCACCAACTGATATACAAATTATTAATACAATATATCTGGATAGCAATCTTTCCAATGAAGTTGATTTGGAAGTAAACAGAATAGCAACAGATCAATATCGTTGTCTTTTCAGTCAAGAATGCTTCCTGTGTATTGTTTTCTTCGATAGCATTACCAAGCAGACCAATAAATATTCACAGCTGTGATATATCTGACGAATTTGAAAATAAAACCATCAATATTGTCGGATAAATGTCATCTTGTAAAATAATTTATCCGTAAGGAAACTATAATAGTCAGCATTGAAGAAGAGAATCATCAGGTGTTTGTATCTTGAATAAATGAATTGTTGCTTATTTCCCGAATCTAATACTTTTTTCCACAATAATACTATACACTAATTCTGCTTCCAAATTTCTTTTCAAATGATAAAAATATATTAAATTATATTATAATTTTCAATCTTATTACTATTTAGTATATAATTTCTTGTTCTTAAAAAATTAAATCTTTAATTTATATTCATCAATTCTTCATTTAATTATTGTTGTAAATTCATGAACATTCCGGACCTGTTGATGTTTTACAATCCAAAATATTTTATATATTTCGCTTTTTAATCGGTTTCAAATAAATTTTATATTCATTTGCAATATTTCCATAAAAATATAAGGATTCTTTTTATTTCAAGTGGAAGTACCTTTTTTCTTCAAATTTAATCACAAAACAAAAAAACTTGCATATGTTTATTTGCATATAAACAAACAAATGAAAATAAATTCTCTTTTTACATAATGAAAAAATAGAATGAAAAAACCATTAGTTTTGAATTTTCTTTTATGGATATGATATAGTTCAGCGTTATCCTATTGTGGCATTAATGAATTCTAAAGAACTAATTTATTAAATACCTAATCATTAACAAATAATGAATACGCTATTATCGAAGTATTCATGGATTTTGCCATTGATTATAATTCATTGTAATTTTCTATTGCTAAGTCAAGAAATTAAATTCAATTGATAAAAATATTTAAAAGTTATTATCTTTGGATAGTTCAATCCAACAATTGATGATGTTTCATATTCTCCATTGTCATTACTTCTTCTATTTATCATCGTTTGGGTCGATGTTATTTTTCTCTTGGAATTTTTTTATTATTAATTATAAATTGACTATATTAATAAAAAAATTTGATGATGCAAAAAAATAAGAATCCAACTTTTTGTTCATGTGAATAATATAATAAAGCTATGCTTTATCGAGTATATTTAAATAATTTACTATATTTGGGTTTATTTCTCGGGATGAAACCCTCATTATTATTATCCGCATTAACTATTCTAAATATGTTAACCGACCATCAAGTTACTGCGGTTACGGATAAATCTTTGCGTTAATATTAATTATTATTATTATAAATTAATTTTTTCAATATTTCCTTATTTAAATATGCCGTCGTTATTTTTTTAAAAATTAATTAATCAGGGAGCACTGCAGGCAGACAAAAGGATAACATCATAATAATAAGTGTACCACCCATAATCATTGACTTTGCAAAATCAAATGCACATTTTACTATTATATTATTTCATTTGATCCTGGAACCAGTAGCAAAATCAATAAAACCAAATTAAGCAAAAGCGAAGGTACCAAAAATCAGCAGTAACATTTATCTAAAAAGAATTTCTTTGGATGAGCAGTATCAGTGTTAATTTAATCTAAACGAGAAAGTAAAGGGTCTGATCATTTTTCGTTTCTTGGGTAGAAATAGTGGTAGTCAAAAGACGAATCACCACTTCCTTGTTAAATAATTGAATATTTTTTCTTTTCATCAGAAACTAAAAGTAAAGCTTCCTCTAAGACTTGATTTTTGTCAATTTTTTAAAGCAGATAATAGAAAGTCCTCGAAAAAATTTTAGTAACCACTCATTCTTATTGATCAAAAGGATATTATTCATATATCCATGACGGCACATTTCCATCAAGAATACATAGCCGCCAACAAGACATGTAATATAGACTTTATATTTATTTCGGCTCCATATCATTCTATCTTGAACCATTGAACAACCTATTAAATAATATATTCGTCAAATGTTAAGAAGTGCTTTAATTAATTGGATTTCTTTTTGATCTTTATTTTGAAAATTTCACAAAGTTTTCTAAAAAACGATAAATAAAAACACTATCTATGTTAAATGACCACTACTACCTTTACGGAATAATTCGATGAATGCATAATTAATAATCCAATAAACATGTCGTTTTGTGAATGGTTTATTTGGTCCATATTACATTAATTTTTCGATAATTAGGTATAAAAAACATCCCGGATCATTGAATTTGGACTTGTATTAGTAGTATTAGGATACTAAAAAGGCAAGCCGATATGATACTAGTATAATCTAGCCGCAGCAGCTACGCAAGTCGCAATATGTAACAATCTTGTATATTACACAAGCAATGAGTGTGAGGATAATAAAATTCAACATTGTATTGGTAGTACAATTATGATATTTGCCTAATTTTGATCCTTTGTAATGTTCATTAACTTTTTGTTAATGATGATGTTATAATTATTGATTGCATAATAAAAAATCAATCTATTCTCTCATGCATTATTTAATAATTAATTTATTGATTATTACCATTATTTAAATAATTAATTTATTGATTATTACCATTATTTAAATAATTAATTTATGATTACTATTATTTAACAATTAACTTATTGATGATTGCCATTATAGGATATTTAATTTATCCTTTTTTACACAATAGAATAAAATGCAATTTTCTAATAATAAACAACAATAATGTATATGTAATGCAATAAATACAATATTCATAAAATAAAGGGAATTGTTTCTTTTGTATAATAAATAATAAGTTTCTTTATAAGGTGATTCTAGTAATGATTTGGTTGATTGATCATACGGATGTCAATGATAAGGATAATGATTCTGATGAGATCAATATAATTACAAAATAGAAAGCCAATAAAAAAATCAAATAAGCAACTCTTGGACATTTTGAACTAGATCTATAATTGTCATCAGCAAAATTTCTAGGAACAAAATTAACGTTATTATGATTGGATGGTTGAAGATGAGCGTATCTATTTAAATCATTATTGTTATTATTATACAATACTGGCGGTGGCAAGTATACTATATAATAATAATGTATTATTCATGATTAATATTAAAAATACTAATGAATAAAATCTAATTTATAAAATGAAACTTGTTCAAATGTTTTTAATCCATAATATATAAATGATTAAATGAATGAGTTAATTGATTAGTTAAATACCTGGATTTAAACTGCCATAATTTGGGCTAACTAAAGGCTGTTGTTCATTACGCAACGAAGATGGTGGTAATGGTAATGATGGCGATATATGATTATTAATATGATTATTATTATTATGACGATTATTATTATTATGACGGTTATTATTGTCATGTCGGCTATGGTTGTTATTATTACCACGATGATAATGATGACTATTATTATTACCATGGTGATGATTATTATTACGGTTGCGACGATTATTGCGACGGTTATTATTATTTTGTTGATGTTCTTCAGGTATTGGAGGTAATGGAGGTAATGGTCCAATATGATCATTATTATAATCTATATGATTAGGATCAGATGATGCTAGCCAACCAGTAGCACTATCAGCATCCCTTAACCCTTCTACACGTTGTAGTTGTTGTTGTTGTTCTAACCATCTGAGATATTCTTCATCTTGTGGATCACCAGTTACTGGATAAGAAGAATCCTGCAAACAAATATGATAATGATGATGATTTTTGATTGAGTCTTTATAATATTAATATTAATATTAATAATAACATCATCAAAAAGTCCATTATCGCATCGGGAAAACTGGCTAATATTTTATTAACTAACTCGTTCATTAATTAACTAAACTTTAAAACTTTAAATAATCGTCTAAATAAAAAAATTACTTTTTTTTTAAAAAAAAAATCCAAACCTGTCGAACTTGAGGACCATTGTTATCGACATCAAGTACAAAATGATGAGGATTATTAAAATTATTGATTTCACTATTATGAATGTTGTTGTCGTCAATCAAAGTGTACGGAGGTGGTGGGGTATGTTGTAGATCTTCCTCCTCGTGAAATACTTGCATCTTTTTTATTTATTCAATTTATTTATATACTTGTTTATTTTAATTTACTCTTTATTGTAGTCTTTTTTGTTTATTGATAGATATTTTACTTTTTTGAGATTGTTTGTTGTTGAAAAAGAAGGCAAATTTTTAGTGGCTAATAAAAGCCATATACGTTTTCTGCAATGTTTCACCAGCGCTCAACGCCTATTAATCGATTCAGCCAAAAGGCACACCATGTGAATTTTATGTAAATCTTTTCCAAATATTTAAATAATTTTAAAGTTATAACATTTGGTTAGTAGCCAAAAAAATTCGACCTCCCTCTTTCTTCTTCTCCAATAACAATCCATGAATGTAATCATTTTTACTATATGGTGAGTATTGTGTTGAGCCCACGGTAACTTTATTATTGTTGGGTGGTTTTAATTTGGATAAAACAAATAAACAAATAAATAGATAAAACAATTTATTATGTTTTTAAGGAAATATTTAAATACAATGGACAAGTTGGCCAAAAAAAAAATTACCAAGTTAAAGATTTTTAAAAAAATAAAAACAATCGAAAATGGATAATCGATCATTAAATATATATATATATATATATATCTAAATATATATGTATGTGTAATAGGCATTATATTATATCATATTATACATAATGATGATTACACACCCATTCTACTCATATGAAGATATGCCAATGAATTTTTAGAGTTACCATTATGATTAGATGTGAATTATAGTCAATGAATGATCAATGATTTTCTTTTTACTTTAACCTAATTTTTAAAATCTTCTGATTCCTATGATTCCTAAGAAATTCATTATTCATTCACACAGACAGCGAAAATACTTTTTTATTTATTTACATATTACAATCAATAACTAAAATAATCAAGATAATTAAATAATGGCTTAAAAAAATTATCCTAAATAAATATTAGATACATGATTTTTTATATATAACACACTTGTAGCAAAATAGTAAAGTATGATGATTTCACAATCTAAATTAGGTTTAAAAATATCTAATTAGGATAGAATTTCATATGACCTCTTCTTTTTTTAATGTGAAAAGAAGCAAGCGGCAACAAAAAAAAAAAAAAACAAAGAAATGTTTTTATATGTAAAAAGTTTTTTCCATTTAAAAAAAAAGTCTAAATGCTACACCAAGTAAGGGGAACACTTTTTATCGTTTGCCTTATATATAATAAATAATATGCATGTATGTGCATTTATTTAGTGCACTCACTTTCTAAATCTAAATTTTTTTAATTATAAATTTTTTTACAACAAATTAATTTTTAATTTTTCCAAAAGATTTTTTTTTTAAAAAAAAAACCAAAAAAACAAACTTCTCACAACAACAATTAATAATAATAAAAAACGAGAGACCGCGTTGCCAACCTTCGTGGTAAAAAAATTAAAACAAAAAATTCATTGTATATGTAATAAAATACATAATATAATACATACATAAAATATTTTTTTAATAATAAACAAATTTATTTTTATATATTACACAATATAAATATTAATTTTTTGAAAAAAAAAATAAAATTAAAAAATAAAACAATGGTTCATACACTTCTTGAAAATGTTCCTAGTGATGATAAAGAAATTAAAAGAATATTTTCATTGGAACAAAGAGTTGCCGAGTTAGAAAATCAACTTTTAAGGGCCTCTGCCAGTGCTTTGGAAAAACGTGTTAAAGAATTAGAGTTTTCTTTAAAAGAGTCAAACGAAGAATGTGTTAAACTAAGGCAAACAATAAATAACATGAAAATTTCTAGCAATAACAACAACAACAATAATAATAAAATAGGGAAGAATAACGATGACGACAATAACGATAATAATTGCAGTAATTATGTCAATAGTGATAGCGACAGCAAAGAAGATTATAATTCAATTGGAGGCGTGGAAGAAGTGATAGATAAAGAAAGTGATATTATTTATGAAAGAATTTTAAAACTTGTCGAAACTATGAAATTAGATTGCACGCGATCAATAAACTTCAAAATACCAGTACATTCCGGACTACCGAAATTTCCAACAAGACAAAATTCCAGAAGTAATTTATCAAAAGCATCCACCGCAAACATTGCCAGACCAAGAACTCCAAGTTTAGCCGGTGCCTCAAGGCCATCCACTCCATCCGGTATTCAAAGACCAAGCACCCCATCGCCAACATCATTAACATCATCACCATCGTGCATACAGCGACCAAGCACCCCATCTGGTATTCAGAGCCCTTCATCAATTCAACGGCCAAGTGCTCCATCCGGTATTCAAATTCCTTCGAATACAAACAATTATATAGCACCAATATACACAAATATTAACAATAATAATAACAGTGGTATCATTACTACTTCACCAACTAAAATGCCAACCCCAGCTACTAAAAGACCAACTCTTGCTAGGGCATCAACTGCTCCATATAATAATAATAATAATAGTAGTAGTAGTAACAATAAATTGCCATCTAGACCAAGTACTCCAACTGGCATGTATCAAAATAGAGCACCCAACGTCACATCTATTCCATCAAGGCCAAGTACACCTGGTACAATATCGCCGCCATTAACAACAACAACAGTATTCACATCACCTATAAAAACTGCAATACCAGCTCATATTCCAATCATGCGTAATTGTCGTCAATCAACTGTGTAAAAAAAAAAATCATTGGTTGATTTGTTGTGCTTATTGTATATATGGTGTATATAAAAAATTTATATATATGCTATGTGTTGTTTATATATATAGTAGGATGTGATAATAATTAGTTTTCTTATTTTATTTTTTTATTATTGGTTGGTTTAAAAAAAAACATTAACCTTTTAAAAAAAAAAAAAAACTTTGATTTTTATGAATTCCAACAACAACAATAAAAAAATAAACTTTGGATGAGATAAATATATATAGATTTTTTTAAGTAGATATTTATGTAATTTTTTTCTATCTGTTAATAAAATTTTTTTCTTTCTACTATTAATAATTTCAATTAATATAAATATTATAAAATATAAAGACAAAAAAAAATCATCATAATAATAATTAAGCATAATTACATAAGGATTTTATTTTTTTTACTACTATAATTTTCTTTTTAAATAATTTTTCTCACCTTCATCATATGTAAAAATAAATTGTCATCATTTCTTTTCCTTTTTCATTTTTTTTTTTTTTAAATCATTAAAAAGAATTTTTTTTTTTGAATATATTGAATATATAAAATTAACTGGTGATGTCAGAATTCGTAAATTTATTAATATATTAATATTTAAACAATGGTAATTTAATTTTTGGACGCCGTTTTAATCACGTGAACAATTATGACCAATTAATGACCAGTATTTAAAGAATTAAAATATTTAATTGACAACAAAAACGTCTTTTTCAAGAGAAAAAGCCAACCTGGAAATATACCAAAAGATATGGGGATAAAAGGAAAGAATTGGAATTCCATCTTTCATTCCACTTTCCAATTTATCCCGAATATGTTCTGATTATTTTTACTATATAGTACTAACAAATAGTGGCATTGATCGTCATAATATTGATATTTATTTTTAGTATTTGGGAAGATTTCCAACCATTTTTAGGAATAATTATTGTTTAGATAAATTTGGGATAAATTTTATATTTGGAAATTAAATAATGATGATACAATTCCATTATCTGTTTAAAAAAGACCAAATCAATAACTCCTATATCATAAAAAAAAATAGTATTTAAGGCCAATGTATTTTTCTTCATTCATTTCTCCTACATCTTCCTCTCACCAATTCATAAATATATGAAATAAAAATCAAATTCATCAATACATGTATATTTATTTATCAATCATATAATATATAAATAAAAATGTCATCAACACAATTCCTTCCATTATTGTCTCGAGATTTTAGTAAATTACTTGAGAAAGGTAAAAATTGTGATGTTACAATCAGAGTTGGTAAAGGTGACGATGTGAAAACATTTCAAGCACATTCGATAATTCTAACATCTCGATCAGTTTATTTCGACTCGGGACTTGATCAAGTAAAAAACAGTGACGGGGATGGATTTTTGTTGAAATTGAATTTGTCACCGATAGCGTTTAACATAATTCTCGGATATATTTATAGCGGTAGACTTGATTTGGATGACCTAGCAGGCGAAAATGTCTTGAGATTGTTGGTCGGCTGCGAAGAATTGTCATTGACGTACCTGATCGATCACATTCAAGACCATATGATAAAAAATCATAATCAATGGATTCAAGAGAATTTCGTTCTCACACACAAAATCTGTTATCAGCACGATTCATTTAAAAAATTACAAATTTTCTGTACGAATTTAGTATGCGAATCACCGGAAATATTATTCGAGTCGCCTGATTTCACGCAATTGGAAGAATCGGGACTGTATTCGATTCTTAAGCGTGAAGATTTTGTGATGAAAGAAATCAAGATTTGGGATTATTTGATTCAATGGGGAGTGGCACAGAATCCAGGATTACCTGATTCACTATCTGATTGGTCATCGACCGATTTCGCGTGTTTGAAATCGACAATTGCACATTGTGTCACGTGCATTAGATTTTTTTCAATCTCGTCTCAAGATTTTTATCGAAAAATTAGACCTTACGCAGCAGCTGTTGATGTTGCATTGTATGATGAGATTTTGCAATTTCATATTTTGAAAACCTATAATAAATCTACCACGCAAATATTACCAGAAAGAAAAAAACCGGCAATTCAATCAAAAATTTTATCACATGAACAAGCAAAACTTATTTCCAATTGGATTTATCAACATCATAATGATTACTCGGAAAATCAACCTTCTAATAATAATAATGGTGGTGGTGGTGGTGGTGGTAGTAATAGTAAATTAACATCTTTGTTCTCATCAAATAGCGGTAATAAGAGAAGTAGCATTGATTCAAGAAGATCAATAATTGATGAAAGTGATGGCACAGAAGAAGAAAAAACCAATGGTAATAATTATAGCAATAACAGCAAACTTTTTGAATATAATTTATTGTTAAGAGGTAGCGTAGACAGTTTCACACCTGGCTCATTTCATTTAAGATGTGACGCGAAAGGGCCAACCATCACAATATTTCGATTATCTGGCGGTGGTAGTGGCAGTGGATCATCGCAAGTAATTTTAGGTGGCTACACTTCAGAAAACTGGTTGTCGTTGAACGAGGCTAAATGGATGAAATGCGACGAGAGTTTTTTATTTTCGTTGAAGGAGAAAGATACGAGATCATTTAAAATTTCACGAATTAAAGAAAATCAAGATGCAATGTATTTGGACAGAAATTCAGGCCCATATTTTAGCGATTTGCATCTATTAAAAAATCCTAATAGTGATAACAAAAAGAATGAGGTGAAATATTCGCAGTTAAAATATAGCAAGTCTATTCACAAAAATGGTACTTTTACAATCGACGAATATGAAGTTTTTCAAGTTGTAAAGAAATATTAATTTTGGATTGTTTAATTTGAGATGTATTTCATCTTTTTATATATATTTTTTTTTTATTCTACTTTATTTTATTTTATCAAAATTAAAACAATGAAGAAATATTTACAAATTAAAAAACTAAACCATGTGTAGTATTAACTTGCAAACAGTTTGGTATTATCAAGTGTCCCCGAAAGAGAATTGTCACTTTTCTTTTAATTATCATATCTTGGCAATGCAAACCCAACACGATCTTGTTCTCGGTCAAAAATAACGTAGACATTTTTCATGAACACTCCCCCGAGAATCCATAGCTATTAAATTATGATATTGCGAATGGGTTGTAATTTATTCATTGATTAATTGATTGATTAATAAATTAATAAATCATCAACAATCAACAAAGGAATAATAAAATATACTTACATTGCTATCTGTGGACGCTATTCCAGAGAAACAAAAACTAGATGAACTTGATACAGGCTCTCTGACAATATCCCGAGCTGTATATATATATAATATAAATTATTATTATTATTATTATTGTTATTGTTCCCTAAACTAACCAATAAATTCAAATCCCCAAAAAAAACTTACGATCAATTGAAAAAGGTGTATTATTGATCACTATGACAATTTTAAGTGGCTTTTTATTTTTTGAGGTTGCAAGGTCACATGGTACCTGCCACGTCTTGGTACGCTTGTCAAATTTACCACCAACGCGATCGTGGATCGCTTGGGCTTCTTTTTTACCAATCACCATTAATGTTGTTCCTGTATCAACAATGCACTGTTGTGATTTACCACCAACAATCACTCCGTCAGCCATAATTGCATTGATGGCAATTTGCCAAAATAATTTTCTTGTCACAGGAGTGAAAGTTATCGGGTTGAAGAACAGTTTTGGATCTACACCCCCAAAAATAATCACACCACCCAAAGACCCTTTTATTGCTCTTTTTGGTCTTAATTGGACAGAGAAAATGCCTCGTGGTAATAGTTTCTGTTTTACCATACTGGTAAATGGTGTATCTATTCCTCGTACCATCGAAAGTGCCTCGTAACCTTTTAAAAGAAAATGTTGATTAATATCACACACACACACATATATAAATATAATATAATATACAGCATTTAGTATTTTCTTACCTAAGCCCAAAATTCCATCAACTACATCATTTGCCAGAATTTCGCTTACATCCTCTACGGAAGCAAATACTTGGTTTTTTACTATCATAGCTCCGACCTTCAAATTATCCTGAATAAATATAATATCAAATTTGAAATTAATATATATAAATGGTTTTTTTTTATTTCAAAACTTTTAAATTAAAATTATTTCTCTGCCTTATTTGTAAAGCCGGAAGAGCTAGAACCATCGCCATAAGAGATTTTGAATTTCTTTCCAATGGGAGTGAAGGTTGAGCTTTTTTCTTCTTCGAATCTTCGATGGGACTTACACTCATCTCCACATTCTGACGAAGGTACCCATAAATCGGCAGATCCTGTGTCAAAATTTATTAAAAACGGTTGTGGTGGGGTTCCGAGTGATATTTGACCAATCCACTAGAATAAATAATACATGTAACAATTTAATAAATATAATTATTTGGTAGATTTTTATCTACCGTTAAATAATTACCTCGTTGTCGTTTAAGAAATTAACAACACCAACTGCTTGAGGAGAATTTACTGCACCAGGTGGTGGAACATCAGAACTTGTACTAGCGTTAGTAGCTCTTTTATTATTACTATGATCCATCTCAAGTTGTCTTATGTTTTCCAATCTACGCAAATGCTTAGCCAGTATAACCTGGACATCCAAATGCGTTGGAAAATTTATTCTATTGGGTAATATATTTACATAGATCATCGGTGGACGTGATGAAGGTGGAGTTAATAATAACTTTAATCGTATGAACAATGGTGAAAGGTTCAGGGACAGTAATTTATCAAGCTTACTCAATGAATAAGAAGAGCTAATTGCATGAGCAATGAACAAAAGTGTTAAAATTAACCGCGTTGTTTTCATTGTTAATGATGAAGGAAAACAAAAAAGTCGAAAGGGTTTGGAAGTGAAGAAGGTAATAAAATAAAATGAGTGAATGTGACTAATTAATTAGTTGGTTTAACTAATATATTAAAATAATAAGTTTAATAGAAAAATTATTATTATTAAGAAACGTACGAGAATTATATGATGTGAAGAATGAAGGAGAGGAGGAGGGGAAGATGAGGAATTGTGAATTAGGAAATAATAAAAGAAAGGTAGTGTTTTTTTGCGTTCTCTTTTCTGAAAGAATAACATATTAAATATTCGCGGTTTTGTTTGTTTATTGTTTGTATATATAATTTAATTTAATTTGTCTCGTCTGTTTTTTTAATTATTTGGATATCACAAACATTGACACTTAATCTTACTCTCTCTCGTGGTTTGTGAACAAAATTTCGTGTGGATTTATTAGGAAATAATATTGTAAATCGTTGTCTTGATAAATATGGTAAATATGGAATAATATAATAAATATATGTAAATATTTCCTATCGTTTGTGTTATATATATGATATTTTTAATTTTTTATTTTTTTTTTTTGGGGATTTGTTTTGTCAAATTGGATTTTTCATTGGAAAAAAAATAACAAAAAGAAAATAAATTGAATTTGAAATATTTTGAAATGATTGGATGATGTGATTTAGTAGTATATATGAATGAATTGAATGTATAAATAAAAATGAATGGTTGAAAAGAAAAAAAATATAATTTTTACATAGTTTTTTTTTGTTTTTAAAAGTAATTTATATATATATATGTGTGTGTGTGTATGTATAAAAAAGAAAAAAAATTTTTAAAAAAAAATAGAATTAATGTCTTTTTTCCCAGTAAATTGTACATTTGTCTCTCTTGCGCGCATTTATAATAATAATATATAAATAAATGAATGGTATATATATATATAAATAAATAAATAAATAAATAAATATTATTTAAAAAATCAAACTAATAATTGTCTAAATCATTAATTTTGAATTGTCAAAAATTATATTTGTCCTTTGGATTCTGCTGAGATTGATATTTCTATTATAATTATGAATATTTTTATTTTTATTGTTATTATTCTGACGATAAAATACAGATGTTGGTGATGTTGGTGACGATGACGACGATGACGACTTTGATGATGATGCTGATGTTGAGGAAGATGGTAATTGTGATGATGATGACGACGGTGATGATGATGAGTATGTGTGTAGATTATTGATTAGTGAATTGGAAAAATAGCAATTGTTCATGAATGATTTTGGATGTAGAGAATAATAGGAGGTTGAGGGATTTTTTATTAATTTAGTAGAGTATTTTATGTCTTGTGTACGACACAAGTCCGAACAATATAAATCTCCCTGAAGAAACATTAAAGAAGAAGGAGGAGGAGGAGAGAAAAGAAAATATGGAAAATTTAATATAAAAATTTACATAAAATTTGTTTAATAACAAAACAATTGATAAATTAATGAAAAAAAAAAAAACTTACCGAAGTTCGTTGAGAACAAGTAAGACACCAGTCAAGATCCATTTTATTAAAGTAACTTTTTAAAGATGGTGAGAGTAAATATAAATATTTAATATTTCAATAATATTAATTGCCAATGTATTATATATATATATAATTGTTTTTAATAATCATATAATATTAATTAATTAAAGCAATAAATATTATTTTTAATATTTTTTTAAAATTTTTGAATTTTTATATAAAAAGTTATTTTTTTTTAATTTTTTAGAAAAAAAAATGTAAAAAGTTTTTAAGGGTAATTATATAATTTTATTCTTGTGTAATGTTATTTTTTCTAAGAAATTTTTTTTTATTAAAATATTCTTTTGATTTTTTTTTTGTGTCATATAATAATTAAAAGTAAAAGGGGTTTTATTGTATGTGAAAAAAAAAAGCAATAATAATTCTGCGTTAGAAAGAACATCTATTTTTTTAACTTGGTTTGGCAAAGGAAAATTAAATTTTTTTGGGTTTTTCTGTTCTGAATTGCACAAGAGGCGTTAGTTATCTTTTCATAAATAATCATTATTATATTTATTATCGTCATCAATTTTTGGAATACAAAAAAATACCGAATATAGAAGCCTTTCTCATATGTGTCACATACATTAATTGAAAAAATCTCACGGATTAATTGTAAATTTACTTAATTTTTTTATAAAGGGGATTAACGCAGGAACGCAGGAGCAGAAATGAAGATTATCTTGGTAAAAAACTAATTGGCGTATTTTTCAATAAATTTTGTATTTTTGTATTCAAAAAAACATCATTTTCCCCACACTTTTCCTAATTATTATTTGTAACACAAATAACACAAATGTCACAAATGTAATTATGTATATGGTAGTTGGTGTAATGTACGTGGCTGTTTGCTGATCAATAATTGGGAGTTTTTGATTTTTTTTGATTCGGTGAAGATTTAATATTTAACATCTTGTCATAATCATACCATCATTTCATCATCGCATAAGTAAAGTTTGTATGAAGCATCTTTATATGAAGATATTTATTTATTAGCAAATCAGGAAATCTTGACTATTATTTATAATAAAATAATAAAATTTCGATTCCATTATGGAAACATTTAATAAATATTGTAAAAATATATTTTATGCAATGTCATTTCTTGGTTCATTTCAGTGTAATCTCTTATATTATTGTAATTATCCGGAAGGTTCAAAGGATTATGTAAAATATTCTATAATTTAATTATTTCTACCGTTTGGTATTTTAATTAACAGCCTATCTAATCAAATTATTTCATCCTCAACATTAACATTAGGTTCCTAAACCAACAGAATATGGCATTCCATATAAAGATGTGACATTGACAACTTCTGATAATGTTAAAATTCATGTTTATGATCTACAACATGGTGATGATGATAAAGCGAAAAAAAGACCAACAATCTTGTATTTTCATGTAAGCTTACTAATTATTATTATCATATCATCATCATTATTAATGTAGACTAAAAAATATATACACATGTATTTTTTAGGGGAATGCTGGGAATATGGTAATTATTATTATTATACATTGTATGCAGTATGCAATTTATAATCTAGCTTACAATTTAATTTATAAATAAACAATACAATGATACAACATATATGTTTAGGGGCATTGTTTAGAAATCGCCGAACAATTTTACAAAGTATTTTATTACAATGTTATAATGGTTTCTTATAGAGGGTAGGCAGACAATTCACAATATCAAATTATTTAATATTATATTAATTAAACATTAATAGCATTTATTTATTTAGATATGGATTTAGTAAAGGTTCTCCAACTGAAAAAGGACTCAAAATCGACGCACAAGTAAATTATCAGCATATTATCAGCATATTATCATCAAATTATTCATTCATTCATTCATTCACACATTCATTCATTCATTCATTCAATATTCATATTTTATACGCATATAGACAGTTTTGGACTATATTAAAAATCACGAAATTTATAAAAATTCCAAGGTCATAGTGTTTGGTCAATCATTAGGAGGTGCTGTATCAATCGATTTGGTATCAAAGAATGAAGATAAGGCAAGTAGATAATTTATTAAACAATTTTAAGAATTGTTATTATCACGATTTTTGATATTTATATATACACTTTACATATAATGGTGCCAGGTTGATGGTTTAATAGTTGAAAATACTTTTCTCAGTATCGTAAGCATGGTTTTTTTATTATTGTCATGCCAAAATATATATATATATAATTTTTTAATGACTATTTTTTTCTCTCCCCTAAAAAAAAAAATAATTTTTAGCCAAAGTTATTACCGCACGTAATGCCACCATTAAGGCATTTTTCAATATTTTGTACTCAAAAATGGGAATCTGAAAAATCTATATTAAATATAAAACGCATTCCAATACTGTTCTTGTCCGGTGAATTGGATGAATTAATCCCAAAGGATCATGTTCGTCAGTTATTCGATTTGGCTGCAGCAAATATTGATGATGATAATTCTAATCATAGTACTAATAATAATAATAATGATAATACTAGTATTAGCAATGAAAGAAGAAGGAAGGGTGCAAGAAGAATTAAATTATTTCCTTACGGTGATCACTCAAACACTATTCTACAACCAAACTATTACGAATCAATATACGACTTTATATTTACTGATGTTTTTCACAATTGAAAATCAGATTAGATTATGCATAAATGGATTAATTGTTAGCCAACCGTGTTACACCACATCTGTGGAAATTTCGTGCAACTCGAAAAAAAACAAATAAATAAATAATGTTTTTCAAATCAAAAAGCATGCACGATTTTTAATTAAGTGTTAAGTAAAAGTTGTATATAGTTCGTTACACTCTCCTCTTTAGTGAACACAATGTATAACAACATTTTTGATTGATGTATCTCTTTCGGAGGGTGGAAGATTCGCTATACATATATATATATATAGAGAGAGAGCTGACTGAAGTCCTAAACTTCTAATTTTGATTAAAAAAAAAAAAAGCATTTATATTTACAACAAATATCATTTTATATGATGCAGCCAGCTCACCTATAATTTTCTTATCTTTACAATTTTCTTGCGCGAAAATTTTTTAATTTTTCAATTATTCATTTTAAAAAAATAAAACAAATAAATAAATAATGATCTTATACAAGTAGTGGTATCAATAGGAATAGGAGGAGGAAGATCCACAATGTTTTTCAATAACATCATTGTTTAATAGTAATAGAATAATGATTATTGTCCCCTATTGATGTAACTTATTATTATAGTCGATCTTGACAAAGAAACTATATTTAATATATTTAATTTGTGTAGCTGCATAATTATACCCCTTAATATCAAAGGGATGTAATAATTAGCTCCCCCATTTATGGAAGTGAACAGTGCATTTGAGTAATGGTGACGCGTCTGACATTTTTAAATTTTCACAGGAAGATTTCTAATCATTTCTATATGATATTAAATTAAAAAACTTATCTATACTTCTCATTAATTACCTTTGAATAAATAATTATGAAGATGCCGAAGAAAAAATGAGCCCCCAAACAAAGAAAATTGATTGATGGAATCCAAAAAACCAAAGGCGGCTTTGTTACCGAATTCGGTTTGATCTTAACAACAATCTAGTGATTATTATTTATATTTATATATTTTTTATTTACTTATAAGAATCCGTTGAGGTTCTCATAAATTTTCATTATCCTAAGAATCAAGGTATTTTTATCAAGACTCAACAATAATAATGGCAATAATATTAATGTTCAAAATAATGGCACTAATGTTCAAGATAATACTAATGTCATGGAAACTACACCACTACCAACTGTAACAGAACTTGATAATACAATATTGAATATTCAACAAAATATGTAGCTAATGGATCAAATATATTGGAAAAGTTATTCTCTCTAAAATATTCAGTGGCATTCCGCGATTTACATTTGATAAATTGTATCAGAGGCATACAATTGGAGCATTTGTTACACAATGTGTGAAAAAATTTATTCCAATGGATAATATTGATGGATCTGACTAATCCGCATTCAAGAAAATCTAAACGAAATACCTACGGGTAGTATGCTTAGAACGTAAGTTTTGTTTCTTTTTTTTTTATACATATAATCTATTGCTTATCATAAAGAAGGAAAATTAATTAATTACCATCCTTTATAATGTATATCTTAAAAATATTGAAGTAATTGTTCAAGGCAAAATGGTTGATTATGTGGAACCTGGTAATAGATGTGTCTTGGAACTTTATTGGCAATCCCAGTTTTAACCAACTTGGTGTTCCTGGTAAAAAAAAATTTACATTATTTCAAATTTTATCTCGCTTATTGATATAATAATAATTAATATCTTTTCTATTTCATTATTTCATTAATAAGTTCTGAGACAGAAATTGAATGTAACGATCATAATATTCATTCAAAAATGTTTGATGGTATTACTAGAGAAGGTGTTACTGGTATAAAGGTGCTTGGTTCTGGGGATTTATCTTATAAAATATTATTTTTAGCTCGTATATTTATTTGATACAAAAAATTCATTTTAGAATATTATAAATTCACCTAAAGTTTGAATTTTTATTTTGAGAAAAGTTGATGATGACATGTTTGAGATTTTTACCATAAATGAGATTTCACAATGAGTTGATAAACTAGTTCAAAATATTACTACAAAAGTATCTGGGTTTGTTATTTATTATTTACTTTGTATATATATATAATATATATATATATATATATATTTATTTATTTATTTATTTATTTATAGAAATAAATAGGTATAAGCATTTAACTAATATTTGATATCTATTATAATTTATTTATATAGATCATGAGATTGATTATAAAGGAATTTTACTTCAATTATTAAGTAATTGTTAAATCACACGCATTTATGATGTAATATAATATAATATAATATATACATTTTGATTATTACCTGAACACGTGAATGAAGCTTATAATCTACTTAAAGAATCATGATTCATATTTATCATGATGATTTGGTTTTTGGAATATTTTGAAACAGATACTCACTCAACCCAATATTGTTAATACACAAAGAATTGCCAAATGATAGTATCATGGACTTGGATGTTGATACTAACAATGTTGAATCATTATCTTCTGCTGATGTATGAAAACAGTTGATAGGGAGTATGTATACACAAACCCAAGGTAGGATTATAGATACACCATTCCAAGACAAATGTAATATTTTGGAAGTTATACAGTTCACTATATCTATAACGGCCCTTTCTATAACGGTCTCCATTATATAACACACTGTGAATCAGAGCCCTAATTTTTACTATATAAAAACCTTACTCTATAACGGTTTTCTTAATTAAATTTCCTAGTGTATAATGGCCTGCCTCTGAAAATTCTCCCATGTTTTATAATGTTGTCTATGATCTGAGGTAATCATTACCAAATTAAGAAATTCGGTGTGTCATGCTCAGTTATTAAATATTATTAATTCGAACGCGCTTATTGTCACTATTGTAAACATAAATACATTTGTCAACATTACTTCATCCTTTGCAGTTACAATATATTATTCGTATTTGAAAAAGAAGAACGTCATCATGACTTGCTCTATGACTAATGTTAATTCATAAGTTTTGCTGTAATAATTATTTGTAAACATGACATAAGAAAAGTCAACCTTCTTATGACTTCATAAACATTTCAAAACGTATATAAAGACCATATTTTACTCGACCAGCAATCAGAATTAAGTGAGTATAATTTTAAATTATTGAAAAGTCTTAAAAGAAAAGTTTTTAAAAAAATGATTTTAACTCACAACAACAATCCACACTAGATAGCTTTTTTAATATTGCAGAAATAGATTTATTCAAAATATCGTAAAAAAAAAAAATCACGTGCGCGTGAGCAATTGTTCACGCCAATCACTTTGACAAGAAAAAATTGAATGTCTCAATACTTTGATACAATACGTCATTATACATAATATATTACTATGTCTCGCAATTCTAAGAATAATAGACGAAAAAATCAAGGTAGACTCACCGATATGCAAAAGTTTCAATTTAGATCTTTAGAGCTAGAAGAATTCTATACAAAAGTATTAAAACTCGGTTAAAAATATGAGTCAGAGACTCTATGCTCCGCATATTAATTTTGTTTCTGGAGGTAGATTAACTAACTTATTCTAGACATGGGCACTAGCTGATTTTTTAACGAAAACTTCATGTAATTGTTGAGGAGAGACATTCGGAAATAACGGAAGTCCCTCTCCAGTAAACCAAATTTTCTTTAGCCCCATTTCGCAAAATTTTTGTAATATCACACTTGGAACATCTTCTAAGGGACCATGAAATTTCTCAAACTTTTGGAGATATGCTCTTGCATTTTTATCAGCTTCGCCCACCATTTCTTAGTTAGTATAACCGACAATACCAAGTTCTTCCTGAATTGCCATTATATCCTCTTCTAAATATAAAAGCAAATTATACAATTTCGAAAGTGATAAATCGGTGGAAGCTTTATTGCTTTGATTTGCCAGATTATTATACCACTCCACTGCTAGAATGGGATTGCCATCAATGTCAAGATTTTTCTGTAATGGTATTAAACCCCCAACCAAATTTAATAATAACTTATATGAATCAACAAGTGTTTTGCCTTCGGGCTCGTGTTTTGTTTCGCTTTGATGCATTCTTACATGATTTACATTGCCATTAATACCGAGTTTTTCTTGAATTGCTATTATATCCTTCTTCTTATATAAAAACACTTCATATAATTGAGCAAGTGTTTCGCTTTGATCAGATTTATTATTAGTATTACTTATCATATTTATTATAATAAAATAATATATTTAATGCAGAAAATACCGCGTAAATGTACAAATTTAGCAGAGAAAGCACAAGGTGTTAGATTATATATCCGATAATAATTCAGATTAATTTTCGGAATGTGGATTATTTTTGATGCAAATAGATAATGGTGCTTCGTAGTAGAGAATGGGCAGAGCCCAGAGTCGATGACTCATAAGTAATTAATTCCGATTTGATTTTTTTCTCGCTCAAAGATATAGTGTATAATAATATAACCAAAATGTTGTTTGTAAATTGCGCAGTCGAAGAAAAACCTCCTATTGAA